AACTCTTATTTCAAGTTCCTAACGTTTTGTACGTCGAACCTAATTTAGGACGACTTATTGAAATACAAGCCTCCACTGTGAAAACTACTCTACAACAGTTTTATAGCACCAGTCCTGCTACTTCATATGCATAAAAGAAAATTTAAGTTTCCAAAGGGATCACCTCTAGGTAATATATTTTCAGAGTAATAAAAATGTGTGTGTGTATGTGTGTATGTGTGTGTATAAACATACAGTCTTATCCAATAAAAAAGAGCAGATTTTGAAAACTTAATAAAAACAAGTGCTAAAAGACCCAAACACATTCAATAGATAGGAAAAGTTACAAATCTATTAAAATAAATGGATTTTTTGAGTCTTCTTTCAATGCCTCCTTTTGATGTTTTTTTCTCAGATTTTGTATGAATTTAAATTGTTAGAATTTGTGTCAACTCTTAAAATCGCCAGACCACAAGAAAAGGCGTGTTTGGTACTACAATTTGCGTCGTGTAAATCGACCGCAGGCGACTTTTAGCTCTGGGTTGATATAAAAGAAAGTATGTTCGTTCCACCTACTGTTGAATATTTGGGACATCGAATTGTTGAAGCTGTGAAATCAATATCTAGAGATAAATTGATTCGAAAGCTGCAAGAAATGTAATAGCCATTCGCGCAAAACAGGGTTGAGTGCATACAAGTTGAACAAACTTAAAATAATAAACGTCAACATTTTTCCTATCCAGTAATGTGTTGAATAAGTCTCTGTCTCTTAAAATTTGTTTTAATTTTTCGAAACCTACACTTTTTAAATAAACGTATATATATATATATATATATATATATATATATATATATATATATATATATATATATGTGTGTGTGTGTGTGTGTGTCTGTGCCTGTGTGTGGTGTACTTAGATAGCAGTTTTTCATATATACAGGTTTGGTTAAAAGCCAGAGTGTAAGGTCCATTTTCCTGTTTCTAGGTAAAAGTTTGAATATCCATTGTTCATTGTTTTGAGTAATTTCAGCTTTCGTAAGTCCTTATTACAGAGTATTTTTGTTAAGGTGTCAATTTCATCGTTATTCTGATATCGCGTCTTTGCGTATTATATACATTCCTTCATATACATGTATCGCGTCTTCACGTGTCAGTTATTTGGTAACATTTGATGCGTAGGGATTAGGTTTTAAGCTTAATATACACATACACACACACACACACACACACACACACACACACACACACACACATGAGATATTTTTATATTTTAAAGTTAAAGATGAAATTTCAGTAGCTATATTGTATTTACTTTCATTTTTCAATATTTCTCCAGGCTCTAGAAAAAAAAACTTCAGATTTGGATTCGTCGGCCCACATTATACGTTAAATTATGAATATTTTGTAAAAAAAATCATTATATGTTGCTTTCACCATTAATCTATCAATAGACTTTTTGAGATTACCAAAAGGGCTGGAAATTTGATTCTGGTCAAGAGAATCATGAAAAAAGAACAATATATTTCTATTTTGCATAGACATGCTATACCAACATATTTTCGCATAATTAGAAAATAAATTCAACTTTCAACAAGACAACGTTCTAAAACACTTTTTACTATGTCAAATTTACCTCGAGTCAAAAAAAGGGAACAAAAGTAGGAAATTATGCCGCCCCAATTTTGGTGACCTGTCTTACATTGGATTACTATGACATGAAATTCTTGAAATCTCGTATCTAATGATACGAGATTTCAAGAAAATACCCCAAAACTAAGAATTAGCATTTTCAGTTCTTGAAGAATGCTGTGGAAGATCTACTATCTACTTTTTTTCAAAAACTGTTGGGAAGGAATGCCAAAAATTAAGTACTAATTAAGACATGTGGTGGTTTTATTGCCTAAATCAAAATATGATGCTGTTGTATGACAATTCCTTACAGTTATGTGCTTATTATTTCTCTTTTTTCACTACTCTTTGGACTGGCATAGCTGAAACTCCTCCCTCACATGCCAAACGTCTTATGAATTGTGTTGGATCTTTTCGAATTCATCTCTTTAGATCTAAGTTGAAATAATGATCCCTCTTCCGTTGTGACCCCCTGGTACAGTTTTCTTCTCTACTTCGTTTTTAATTTTATTCACCGGTCTCTTGAAAGGACTTTGAAGATGGAAGCCAGAGTATGAATGTTGATACCATTACTGAGGGCCATTAATGGTCTTTTTTTCTCTCACCATTGCTCAGTTGAGAAGACAGTGGGGCTGACACAAAACGATTTTAATCTGTTTTTTTTTTTTTTCTGGCGGAATAACTCAAAGGGCTTTTCAGTGATTCGTACGACAGATGGTGTTAAGATGGCTAAACGTCTTATCTGAAAATTTGTAAAAAAAACTCATATATATTAAATATCTTGCGGGATGGACAATTATTCCATGCTATTACACAATTTGGACAATCTTGCTGTTACACCCGGTGTATATATATATATATATATATATATATTGAACTATTTAGTTTATGCCACATTGACTGATAAACTCCTACAACAACAATTTTTTTTCTCAAATTGGCATTATAGTAAAATACGCACTCTCTTAAATTTTCCAAAAAGTTCAACCTTAGCGTTGCGACTGCATGCTCCAAAAGTTTGTAACCATTATCAATAACACATTTAAAATAAAAAACATATTTCGATTCGCATTATATTTTTTTCGTCTCGGATGCTACCTGAATTTTACAAAAAACAAACAATATTCATGCCTGAAGATGACTGAAGGTACAGTAGAAAGTACTTGCGTATTAAAAAAAAGACTTATACAGCTTATAATTTTTAAAAACAAGGATCATAACATTTATCGAGTGATTTGTAGGTTAATGTACCTTTAAAATTTTGTTAGCAAAGGGATTATGCCGTTTTATATCATTAATTTTACTAATCTACTTTTTGTATGAATAATTCAGTGTAATATCTATCTATCTATCTATCTATCTATCTATCTCTCTCTATCTATCTATATATATATATATAAATATATATATATATATATCTTGAAATGAATATGAACAATGATTTTTGAAATTCTCCGAGCTTTCTTTCCTCATTATGTGTTCCAGAAATCTCAGCTGTTTCTTTTTTTATTGTTAATGCCAGTTTCCTTACAATTCCGTCTACCTTTCCAATTTCTTTGTCCCTCACACCATGTGTCCATATTTCTAATATACGTCAATCGAACTTAATGTCTCTCCGAGTCTCTTATTGATCTGTCAAGTGATTGTCAAACATGAACGGTCTTATAAGAGATTAGATATTACATATCAGTTTACGTTCTTTCGAAAGGCAGTTTCGCCATGTCTGCTTTCATTACTCGTATTCGTCTTTGGAGTACTGATACGAGATTTCCGTGCACTATCCAGACAATTTCAGCACCTGCCTGATCTTGATGTAAAACTATAGTCATGAGCAAGAGAACTAACTGAAAGTTAATGCAAAATTTTCATACCTCTCCCCCTTATTTGTTTCAGTCTATGCGTTCACGCGATATCATAGGTAGTTGCAGCCAGCAAATTCCCTTCTTTGAAATTGTATCAGTTATCAGCGCCAAAATGCAATCAGTTAGACCGAGTTCAAATTCCTGCCCAACCTCTTGCGTTCAATTTCGAATAAATGACCTTCAAAATGTTATGAATCAATTCCTCGTCTCCCCAAACAGCCATGGACATAGTAGCAATGTAGACTGAATTTAGAGTCGTTCAAATGACAAGCAAAACCCATTGCTGTCTCCGAGAAGTTATAATAATTCATAAATAATAAAGAAATTAAATATGCATCGAAAGTCATGAATTATTTGAAAATTCACGAATTAAGCACTTCTCTCTCTCTCTCTCTCTCTCTCTCTCTCTCTCTCTCTCTCTCTCTCTCTAACCAGCTATGATCATAATAACAGTGGTATTTACTCGTTCCCCCACTAGAACGGGTAGGGACAAAAATTCCCCTCAGGCCCCCTCAACCGTCGGTTGCGCTGGCCTCGGTGTGAGCACCGATCTCTCCCTCTTGTGCAATGGAAGGGCGCAGCCTCGGGCAGCTGTTCCCCAGGGTTGGGCACCTCTTCAGTATAATTTTCCTCAGTTGCCCCTCTGTCCTTTGACAGAGAAGCCCCAGAGCACACTCTGTCCAAGGACAGAGACGCAACTGGGAGATGATAAGAAAATGTGAAATTACCCCAAAAGAGGAATTTACACAATGATCATAATAACAGTGTAGACTGAAATCTCAAGCCATGGTTTAGAGCCAGTCTAGAGAAAGAGAAACTCCGAATTTAATATCAAAGACAACCCATTCCTGTATCTTTTCCAAGAAGTAATAAAAATTCTTAGTTTATATAGAATTAAAATCTATAGCAAGACTAAATCGGATATCCCTTGAAAATTTTAAAAAGGAAATCATCGCCAGATGTAATATGTTTCTAAATCAGTTCTTTGCCTTGTGCCTTACTTAGCGAAACTTTGCAAAAGTCGTGCGTCTGTCCGCGTGCAAGATTGGGATAACAAATCTTTCAGAGATAAGAAACTACTTGAAAGAAATCGAAGCGATGCGAGCCTTTCAAACAATTACGTCAACGTTTGCAAGTTTAAAGTTTCTTTATTTTTATTATTATGTTTTGATGCTGCTTTCGTTCATTTCGATAATTTCATTAGTGCCCGACTGAAAGTAATGAAAGCAAAGGGAAAAAGAAATAAACTAAAAACAAAAACAAAAAAATGGTTTAAAAAAAAAAAACAAAAAAAAATTAAAGTATAAAATGGCGGCGAAATGAAAGAAAACACCGTTGTTCATATCGATAAGATCTTGAAGCCGTTTTAGCGCACCTTGCAAAGGTGAAAATCCGAATGTGCAAGAGAGAAAACGAGAAAGAAATGAAAGGTATGGAAAGAGAGAGGAGATCAGAGACAAAAGGGGGTTGAAAGTGAGAAAGGAGAGATAAAGAATGTTAATATATATAGATAGAGAGAGAGAAAGCAATTATGAAAAAGAGGAAAAAGAAATGACGAAGGATATTAAGGAGTCAAAAATGAGAGGGAAAGGAAAGACATAATGTAAAAACAGACAGAGAGTGAGAGAGAAAAGAAAGTATGAAAGAGAGGGAAAAGATGAGACAAAAGATAGTAAGAAATTGAAAATGAGAAAAAAAAAAGACAAAGAATGGATAGAGAGAAAACGAGTAAGTATGACAGAGAGGAAAAAGAATAGACGAAATGAGTCTAAAATTAGAAAGAAGGGATAGGCAAGGTATGTAAGAGGGAGAAGGAGATATATAGAAAGAGCAAGTATGAAAGAGAGGCAAAAAGAGGCAACAGATAGTAAGGAGTCGAAAACGAGAAAGACGTCAATGACAAAGAATGTAAGGAGAAAAAGAGAGAGAGAGAGATAGAGAGAGTGGGAGAGAGAGAAATGGCAAGTATGAAAGAGAAACGAAAGAAGACAGGTAACCAAAAAGAAAAAAGTGGTGAATAAAGAGAAGGTCCAAATAAAATGCGAAACCGTGGAATAAAAGAACAAAATAGAAAGGCAAGATAACAATTTGAGAGAGACGATATAATGGCAAAAATATGAAAAGATAAAATAAAATATAGAAGGAAAAAAAAAGAGAATAAAAAGCATATATGAAGAACAAAGACAATACAGATTAGATTTTAACCCCGCAGACTCCCTGTGGAATAGCAGGGCTCCCAGTCCCGCTACACTCAATATTTTTATTATGGTGTCTGTAGCAAATAATGTTTAACAGAGCGGAGTTGCTAACACCACGCCCACCAAATTAGTAGGCAAAGATAACGTAGAGTATTTTATCATAAGTAACCACAAGATTTTATAGTTGGACTTTCAAAAGGATCCCTTGATTTTTAAATCTACTCTCGGTAGATGTTTTCAGCTACGGAATCGCTACCGTAAAACTTCCGCTTGACATTTTCCCAAGAGCATAATAAAGAAAATTTAATAAAAGATGTCGGAACAAAGGACAATAAAGAAAAAGAGATGACAGTGAATAAGGGAAAGAGAAATGAAGCTCAATAAAATGAAACAATAAGAAGAAAAAAAAAGAACAACGAGGAAGAATGAAATTTAACGACATCAAAAAAAAAAAAAACCCGAAACGAACAAAAAAAAGAAAGATAAAATACTCTTTTCTACAAAACAGCTCAGAAGCGCCTGCACGTCCTTGTGGGTGATGAATTATTGTCCACCGTAGAACCCCTTTTCCCGCAAACGAAACGTCGCAAGCCTCTCGCTGCTCTGTCGCCACTTCTATGGAACTATATTCCTTAGTTCCACCAATTCTAACCTTCACAGGTATGAACCACCATACCATGCACATTGTACTGAACCACATTCCCCCCACTTCATATTCCACTGGTGAGATTTTCGTACCACTCGAAAAGTTTTTTCTTACGTACCGCGTCTTTGTAGAACCAATTCTGAAGAGGTCACAACAATCTTAAGGTATAGGGTTAAACGTTACCTTACCAACATATTACCATAAACTGTGCCTCTTACTCTGTACCACTCTACATTGAGTGGCTCTTGGGCCTTGTACTGGGTGAACATTATTGTAAAATAAAATTAAAAAAAATATAATATATAGTCACTTTTTCTAATGTTAATGATATTATTAGCCGTTTCCTTATAAGGAAACATCCGGCATCCATTGACAGATCAGCCAGTACTACTGTCGGTTGAGTCTTATAAAATCTTTCTCTTGAAGCGAGTTTCCAGGAAAATAGATTTTTTAAAATCCAGTAGATGTTATCGCTTTTTCTAAAATTCATGAGGCTTTCCTTCCTAACCTTTTGTTTGAAGTCGTGTGGAATGTCATCTTCTTGATTATGTCCTTATTTAGATTAAAGGCAATATTCATTGTTGTGGAAAGTAATAAAGTCATGTGGTTTCTGTTATTTCGTAAAGGTCTTTGTGATTCTGTAGCGCCGGTCCACAAAGCACAATGAGGATATTCGTCACTAAGACCTACAGATTTCATTTACTCAAGGGTATTTTTAACAATTGATCTGCGAAAGCGTTTATCTACACCTGACAGTTTCAATATTTCTGAACGTGTTTCGCGCCATGCATGAAATTTTCGATCTAAGGAAACCATTTAAGAACATGATTCGAGTCTTTAGGTTATTTTTTTTTTATTGCTGGGAATATTTAAACTTATAAAATGAGAGCACCGGTTTCAATTTGTACACGGCCAGGAATTTTTATATAAAGTTAATGGACATAGAAAAAAATAATGGGGTTTCGGAGAAAATTGTTTGACAATTTATAAGCGTGCCAATCCGTAAAATGAATGCAAAGATGGTGCAATGGATAGCGGCTAGAAATTTGAAACAGGCGTACTGTGTTCGAATTTTGACGAGATCGCTATTTTTACTTTTGTAAAAATACAAATGTTAGATGCTTTCTGTGGGCAGCTTCACAATGACATAGACAGTCTGACAAAATTCTACTTTTGGACAACTTCAAGTGGAATAATGTTCCAAGATTCTATCAACACAGTTTTTTAAGGCTTGTATGTCTGTGATCTCTCGCCTCTGTAAATGAAGTTGATGTAACAGTAAACCCTATACGGTAAATTTTTTTGTTCATTCTATAGCTAGTATCTGTCTATATTTCTGAGATGAGCTATTATGTACACTATTTACATTATTTGGACTATTGTCCTCATTTTGTTGCCATATTTATTACAACGTTTCGGCCGTTGTACGCTCCGGACTTCTTAGGTAGTTGGAATGTCGAACTGAACCCTTTATTTCACTCGCTAGGGTAGACTGTTTTAGTTCCACGTGACATGTTTAATGGATGTCAGTTATCAGTTATCTCCTGTTAATTCCCTTCTGCAAGTTCTCCACTGTCTTAACAAGGTATTGAACTCACACTCTTTGGGTCCTGTCACTGGATCTAACTAACGCCTGTGCCATCTGTCCTTGGGGATATCTGTATAAATTTCTGGGTATTATAAACCTCATGTCTTCAGCAACCTTTTTTTACCAATGCTCATATTGCAATTTTTGCTGTTATCAATGAATGTTTTTTACCAGAGCTCATGCACACTATTTACATTATTCGGACTATTGTCCTCATCTTTGTCGCCATATTATATAGCTAATCTAAAATCTTCTGTTTTTTGTGGGGCACACTGTATTTAAACTACGACATTAATAGAGCATAATATTACTCGAAAAATCAACCAAGCAACCAACATTCTCTGGTATACTAGTTGCCACCCAGATCTATAGGTTCCAGTCTGTCATACTATTCGTTCTGTATAGTTAATTCATAAGAGTGTTTTGCTAATTGTCATGTAGTTTTCTTCGGATTTATTCTTCTCAATTATGGCATGCAGATCACAGTATGAACAAAACCTGGTCACCCAAATCGAGAAGATTTTTCTTTTAGAAAAAAGCATATCTCGATTAGCACATCATTAAACATATCCGGACATTCAATTAAAGATGATTCCCATAAGCAAAAGGAATGTTTCTTGTCGCTGACGAGCTCTTTTTGAATTCATGCGAAATGTCTGATACGGCTCTGATCTAAACTCTTTTTTAAAATTGTAAAATGAATACAAAATTTATCCACATGAGTTGAGATTTCTTGGTCACATAATGAGGAAAGTGGGCTTTGAAAGTTTGACACTCACAGGACCTAGTGTAGGAAAGAGGGACACTGGTGAACAACGCATAACCTACGTAAGTGTAAGTGGATGGTAGAACAGAGTTTAGGAGAGACAATAAAAAGACAACATTTACTAGGAGTCATAAAGGACAGCAAATTATGGAATCATGATTGCAAACATTCTGAAGGGACACGGCACATAGAAGAAGATGATGAAGATCGTGATGATGAGGATGATGAAGAAGAAGAAGATGATGATGAAGTAGATGATGAAGAAGATGAAGAAGAAGATGATGAAGAAGAAGAAGATGATGATGATGAAGATGATGATGATGAAGATGGAGAAGATGATGAAGAAGATGATGAAGAAGAAGAAGATGAAGATGATGATGATGAAGAAGAAGATGAAGATGATGATGATGAAGATGATGAAGAAGAAGAAGATGAAGATGATGATGATGAATAAGAAGATGAAGATGATGATGATGATGATGAAGAAGAAGAAGACGATGATGATGAAGTAGATGAAGAAGAAGATGATGAAGATGATGATGATGAAGAAGAAGAAGATGATGAAGAAGAAGATGAAGATGATGATGACGAAGATGATGAAGAAGAAGATGAAGATGATGATGAAGAAGAACATGAAAAAGAAGATGATGGAGAAGAAAAAAGATGAAGAAGAAGATGAAAACGAAGAAGATGAAAAAGAAGGAGATGAAGATGAAGAAGAAGATGATGAAGAAGAAGAAGATGAAGAAGAAACAGATGAAAAAGAAGAAGATGATGATGATGAAGAAGATGGTGAAGAAGAAGAAGGTGAAGAAGATGAAGAAGTGATCTATAATAAAATAAAAGATCATATAAAAACGTAAAAAGCAATGATAAATACTGAAAATGTACGATCGATGTTATCATGTCAAAATGCGACAGGACTTTCTTTCCAGCCGAATAGGTGTAACTAAATATCTTATTGAGAATATAAAATAAATTATAAAGTATCTATATAAATAAATCTGATTACTGATTAAAAGTTACGAGTTCAAATCACGATGGTAATTAATTGTTCATCCAACAGTTGCAGGATGTAAAAACAACTTGAGCCTTGCATTAAATCCAAAGAAAAAAAATACCGTATATACTCGTGTATAAGCCGATATTATGCATAGTGCGACCCCTGAATTATTTTGCATGAATTTTAGTCCCCACCAGAAAAAAAATTACCTGTGTATAGTACAACCGATCACTGAAATGCCCTGGTTTTTAACCTCATCAAAAAGATTACCTATTTTGGGCGTAAAAAAACTGATAAGAATTCGCACTATATTTGGCTATATACTGTCTCTAGTTTGAAATATAAAATATTATGTAATAATAATAATAATAATAATAATAATGAGGCTCCATGCGTAGATATTTCTCTATGCAGTTACCAGAATTACTTATTTTTATCTTTTGCAGTTGAATCGCACCTCATATGTGATGAAAAAAAAAGTTGTTGTCTCTTGAAATTTCTGGTTGAGAATTGCGGGCAACCTTAACTACACAAGACAAAAGCAAAACAACGGCAACAACAACAACAACAATGACAGCAATGTAAAAATCTTATGGATGTCGCAGCCCCAGCCGACAAATATTAACATTTTTCTTTTTACTATTGTTCACCCGTTACAAGGCCTAAGGGGCATATAAGGTAGAGTGTTAATGAATGTGGATATTGTAAGGAGTTATACGTAAGAAAGATAACTCGACTTCACTCGACTTGAAGAGGTTAATACTGCAGATTTTTGTTGTTATTTTTTAATTATTTCACGCGAGCAAGGCAATAAAGCCACAAAGATACACCGGGTTATTGCGTGTATATTTGAAAACGTTTAAGAAACGAAATAATTACAAGGAAATCAAGACAGAAATCAATGGAATGTGGCATTTCAAGACGATGGCATTACCTGTTGTTCCTTGTGACCGTGGGAAGGAGCAGCAAAATATATGGACAAAATTCCTGGCAGTCCTAAAATATCTGAATTGCAAAAAAATCATGCAGTGAACGCAATTACATACTTATCTCTCTCTCTCTCTCTCTCTCTCTCTCTCTCTCTCTCTCTCTCTGATTGCATGACACCTCATCTTCTGGTACAAATACTTGTCTCTTGAAATCTCTGTGCTAAATAATTTTCTCAGACTATTATTTTTTTAGTGACAGTTTATTATGACATACCTTCTGAGGCTGACTTTTGAGGTCAGATGGAAGACAAAATAGGGAAGTCGATTTTGACTGGCTGAGCCAAACGTGGGAATGAGTTAGAGATTAAGGTTTTACAGGAATTGCTGTTTGGGCGTCAAGCTAGCTAGACGTGTTAGATTGTGTTTATGCACCCGCCTTTCAGCGTGTAAGGGTCTTTCGAGAGTTGGTTGTTACACGTCAAAGGAAATGAGCGTGTGAGATTTCGCGTTTAAAAACGGATCCCTAATAAGGAGTGTAGTAACCCCCACTTGATAGAATGTACGTCGGTGTTCGCGAATAAAATAAGTTAAAAGATCTCTTTGTTGATGCTTTTCGTCTCTGAACCCCCCCATCCCCCAAAAAAACATTTCACGACAGACACCGACCAAGAGTAGAAGAGGATTGAACTATAACGACAAACGATCGCCGACTAGACAAGATGGGACCAACCAACACTCCACACTTTGGCACTGATATCTCAAGATATCTGATTTTCTTTCTTTCCTGTTTTTCTTTCTCTATCGCAATCTGCACATATTTTATCTCTCTTTCTCTCTCTCTCTCACACACACACACACTATATATATATATATATATATATATATATATATATATATATATATATATATATATATATATATATACTAGCAGTAGAACCCGGTGTTGCCCGAGGATGTAACAGTAAGAGATAGATCAAATATCGACCATCATAAAGACTGAAAAATAAAATTGACAAAGATTATTGTTTAAGATTGACGGACACGCATGTCTTAATTAGTTTTTTTTTTTTTGTTGTTTTTTACGAATTGGTCAAACCCAAACTCAAACAAAAACATTGTTTTCAATCGTTATGAGTCTACCGATTGAATAGAATTTTATTATAAACAATTGTCTTGTAAATGGAATTTTTAAAGCATTCTGAATGTAAAAATTAAGAAAAAAGTGTGCAAAACAATAAGAAACACTACCTGCCAAAAAAAAGTGAAGTTTGTTGAAATCGGTTGAAAAATGTAGGAAATCCGATCCCATAAAATAAACGAACACACACACACACACACACACACACACACACACACACACACACACCAATGAAGGCTATACAGCATCTGGATGAGACTTAGGAGCGACTTGTACTAAGCAAAAGCGACAAGAAAAATAATATTACTGAATACGTCGTCGTTCATGAAATACGAGCAATCGGAGATCCGAGTTGCGTCTTGAAATCCTGTTTGAGGCTATATCTATTTTTACAACAGATGCTCCTAACGTAATGTAAACAGAGATTGATTGTGCCTATAAAAGGCAATAAAATAAGTCGAACGATACACAAGTCTAATAATAATAACAACAACAATGGAACAATGTGTACCTTTATAAAATTATTTGTAAAGTTTCGTCCAACTCTTCCAGATAGGTGATAAGCTTATTAAATATATTCGCTATTATGTGCAATCTTCAACGTTCGACATAAACAAGATATTTATCTTTTCTTATATTTCAAGAAGATACGAGAAAAAAAAATCTATTTCCGTTGTTTGTGTTAAATTTCCTTTAGATTATGTATGGGATTATTTTTCCCCAGATTCATGTGCATTTCTCCTTAATATACAAATAATTGCGAAATATATTCTGGCAAAAAAATAAATAAATAAATAAAGTATGGAAGTTCGTAAGGAGAAAATGTTATTCATATTTTAATTCTCCATTTCTTTCTTGCGAAAGAATTGATATCGAGTATTTAAAAGAGAGTTAGCAGAATAGAGATCAGCCGCCTTTTCAAACATCTGCATCTCTTTCTTTCTCACACTCTTTGTTTATCTACATATTAAATTCTTTGTGCATACATACATATGGGAGCACAGATCGATTAACAGATATCGAAATAGGGATGGGCATATTATATATACATATGGGAGCACAGATCGATTAACAGATATCAAAATAGTGATGGACGTATTATATATACATATGGGAGCACAGATCGATTAACAGATATCAAAATAGGGATGGACGTATTATATATACAAGTGTGAAAGTAGATATAGTTATTTTCTAAGCGTAGCTCAATTCTGGCACCTAGTGAGAATCGAACACACTTTTCAGTTGTAACTGACCGAGCGAGACGAGCTTGCTAAGCATTACACCACAGCGAGATGACCAATGCGTAAGTAGGTATACAGTAATGAAAAACAAAACGTGCGCACAAAACGTATCTTATTGATTTTACAAATATATCAGTAAAAACGTATCAATTATAAACATATCAATAATAAACATATCAATTCCTCAAATGTTCAAACTGTTTGTCTCTGTAAATTAGCACACTCCTCTTTACTTGCAAAATATTTATTATTATTATTTATTAAAAATAAAAATAAATTTATTTACACAAAAATTATTTTAATGAATTCGCGTATAAAATAAATCTTAGAAACACTATCATAATGCTGGCAATACGCTCTGTGTCCATATATATTTATTAAAGACATTTTTATGTTTAACGTTCCTTTTTATAGATACAAGTATTTAAGTAAATGCTCTGTTTATAATAAACAGTATTAAATAACATTTACCGGCCTGAATGTCCGAGAAATTTTCATAGAAAATATTCGTCCTTTGACAGGATTCGAACCTGCATCCTATACGGAACCGTCATTTACGCTGACGTGCCTTAACCGACTCGGCCACAAAGGAGCGTTCCGTAGGCAAGGTCGAATTTTCTATGAAAATTTCTCGGACATTCAGGCCGGTAAATGTTATTTAATACTGTTTATTATGGTGCTTCTGCTGTGTATCTCCAGCTTCTTGACAATATCCAGAGAAGGGTATGCAATACAATCGATCCTCACCAGGCATCTCGTCTCCAGTCACATTCTCACCGAAGTGATGTGACTTCCCTCTGTCTGTTTTACAAAGATTTTAATGGCGACTGCTCGAACGACTGCATGAATCTAATCGTGCTGCTAGAAAGGCAACAAGGTTTACTGTTAAACTAGATAGATGCCTGCACTACTTCTACTCTAGCAGTCTTTTTTTTTCTCGCAGTTCGCATCTGTGGAACTCCCTTCCGATTTCTTGCTTCCCTGATAACTACAATATTCAAAAATTTAAATGTAACATCAATCGCCATCGTTTCTCTTTTGAAACATGTTACTTTTCATCCTTTCCTCAATCCTCCACATTTTCAATCTTCTCATTCTCTTTCACTCTCTTTAACTCCTCCCCTTGTTGTTTAATATCTAAAAAAACAAAAACAAAAAAAAAACACAAAAATAACTGAGGATTTTTTCAAGGTTTTCAGATAAGGTGTTAAGCCATCTTGACACCATTTCTCGTAAGAATCACTGTGAAACACTATGAGTTTTTCAGCGAGAAAGTGAACAATTAAAATCGTTTTCTATCAGTCCCACTGTCTTCCCAAATGAGCAATGGTGATAGGAAAATGATCATTCAGGCCTTCAGTAATTGTACCAACATTCATACTCTGGCTTCCATATTCAATGTCCATTCAAGAACCATCAAGAAAATGGTGAGTAAGTTTAAAGAAGAGAAAAACTGGATCAGGATCAGGTCCCAACAGGAAGAGAGATCATTATTTCAATTTAGTTGGTTTCAACATCACCTCAGGGTACTGTAAGGTTGAAACCAAGGTAACGGATTCAACTGACCTCCTGATTTTTAAAGTTAAAAGCTCTACGTGTTATTTTTACTTTTGTCTTTTTTTTTAACACGCGTATTGAGCACTTTTTAATACTGTTGTTTCCTGATCTGATTCAATATATATATGTGTGTGTACGTGTGTGTGTATGCTTGCGCGTGCGCGCGCTAGGCGTTTCTTCTAAATGCAACAAGATCAATTATTATTTGAAGTTTTCCGAATTTTTTTGTCTTTTGTTATTCAGAAGAAATTGCCTTGGAACAATTTTTGTTCACATTGACCTTATCGAGATAGTTCGGTCGAAAAGAAGAATAACTTTAGACGATTTCCTTTTTCCTGAAAATGAAAAACAAATTACCAAAAAGACAAATAAATGCTCTGCTATCTACAAGAACACTTCCGCTTCTTGCGCATGAATTATCTCCACGAAATCAGATGGATTTCTTCCAAGAATCCTATGTTCGATTTCCGGCATTTTCACCAACACCTGTGTCCAAAATATTTAGGATATCTTTTCGGCTCTACGTAAAACAATAAAAAAGTTATTATTTTAATCAGTAAGTTCATTCAACATATTTATCTTTGAACAATTTCTTTGTGGTTCAAAACTTAGGCATTGCATGAAAAGAGGATTACGGCCGTACAACGTTGTAACACCGGTTCCCGTACGATCTTCGAAGTTAAGCAACGTCAAGCCTGGTCAGTACCTAGAGAGGTGACCATTTGGTAATACCAGGTGATATAAGCTTTAATGTGTGTGTTGTGCAATGGTAATTTCTCGGAATTGTTAATTTGAAGACAAGGTTCCAATTCCTGTTGTGATGGTAGAACCATTTATGGTCCAAGCAATCGGTAAATATTTAACCCCCAAACTGGGGTCAAAATATTATGAAATTTAAAAATAGATTTTCATTGTAAAAATAACATTAATACATTTTTGAAGAAAAAAATTTCCAGCAATACTTTTTTGAAAAAAAATATTGCCAGCAGTACTTCTTTGGGAAAAGAAAATACTACCAGTAAGACAATTTAAAAAAAAAAATACCAGCAATACATTTGACTCTCGACAAAAACTTTCTTTACAAAAATATGTCAATAAGACCTGATCTACAAACTGATATCTTAGAAAGAATAAATATTCTATTCATACGAACCTATTCTAAAAATCTCGTCGGCATTAAATGACCCATTGAGGTTGATATACCGTAAAACAAAATAAACCCAGTTCCCGTTAGATTCGTTATAGTCCCTTACGTGAAAATACCCTTAAGAAATGTATGAATCCACCTCTTCTCTTCTAGCTATGGGTTAATTAGTAAGACTTGTATCACTAAAAACTTTATTGTTTCAACAAAAAAAATGCTATTGCGTACAAAATATTTACATTTTGGCATTAAATAACCTATACAGGTGTTGATGTGCCGTTATGCAAAATCAATCAAACCATTTCAAGAAGGGACACGAGAATGAGTCGAAGCGTTCATAGGATGATTATGAAGTCGTGATACTGGAACTGTGAAATCATCCATGCTTTAATTTCGACTCTTCTTATGAATTACTGGTTTGATCCTTCCAGGTAAACTGACATCTGCCTGTTCAAAGAAGATTTGAAATGTCAAAAGAAGCGACTTCTTTTGAACATGGACAAAAGTTGGCATCGTGTTCTTATCAAGTACCTATAGAAAAAGGATTTAGCTCCCGATGTCTCTCACGCTGATATAATTGTTAGATTAGTGTATGACCTCCTCCTCCGCCTCCAGGTTTATCAACAGAACTGAACTGAGTAGGGGAAAGGAGCTGATCAAACAGTTGGACGTCCTACAACTACCACCACCGAAGTAAACCTTGATCGTGTTCCCGGCATGGCGATAGATGACAGGCGATTGATTATAAATGAAATAACCAATGTTATTAGCATCTCTCGTGAGAGAGTTTAGAATATTCTTCACGATGAATTTTGCACGACGAAGGTCTCTGCTCGGTGAGTTCCACGTGTTCAGTGACCTGATCAAAAGCGCATCCGACTGATCACATCATGGGAATGTGACGGGTCTACACCTGGCCCAGGGTCGAATCCTTTGGTTACGGCGCCAACTGTGACGTCGCTCCTCCTGGTCGCTCCTCCTGGTTCCAAGCGTGCCGCTCCAACCCCTTGGTTAGATGATCACCAGCCTCGCCTTTCCCAACTCGCTTCCAATACCTGGTTAGTGAAGCAACTGTACTGATCTCCGGTCTGTCTACCCACGCTGTGTTTAGATCTTAGACAGACGGGACCAGCAGGGATTGGGGCCGATACAAGTTGAGTCCGACGGGGGTGGCAAAACACAAGTAAAAGAAAAAAAAACTCACGAGACAAAAAATTACTGATAAAAAAAAAGGGTGACAACCTTTTATATCTAATGTCCGTTACATAAAGAAAAATTGTTCTTATTTCCCGACCCGCTCTGTGGACTATGGCACCAAGCTTCTATCATACAACTTAAAGATTTCGAATTGCCTACTCTTCAGAATTATGTATGTCGGAGTGTGGTCTAGTTCGCCACTGGGGCTAATTTCTGTCAATCATTCGCAGTTGATTCTTCTCTTCGACTTGAGATGTCTCTTCGACTTTAGTTGTATTTCTTCACTTCGATCTGGTTGGGTCGAATTCTGTTCTCGGCTGGGCTTGATTTCAACTTCTTCTTCTTCTTCCGTCCAGTAACTCTTTGGCCTTGTCTTCGACTTGGCTGCAACTTCTCCGCGGCTTTCGAGTAATCTTCTTCTTCGTCGACTTAGATGGAACTTCTCTTGTCTTCGACTTGGGCTGGAAGGATTTCTTGTTTTCGACTTGGGTGGAAGGATTTCTTGCCGCAACTCAGCCGCAACTCTCTGTCGTCCGAGGTGGTCTCTTCTCGCTGCCGTCCGGGGCTGAACTGATTTTTGTCGATTGGGGCCCTGCTTTTATTGACGCCGCAGCAAACCGGGGTGGGTCTGTCGGCGTCAGGGCTCTCTCGATAATTTCAAAAGTCGCATTACTTCTGATTTCCCATTATCGCTATTATTTTCACCCCTACTTCCTCATAGTGCCTTTGGTGGGGAGGCGCATATCCATCTCTCCCGGTCCCTCGTATGTCAGGTGACCGCTTTCGACCAATGGTTCCTGATCGAGCATTTCTTTCTTTTCTTTTCCGCAGCCACGTGACCGTTTTCGGCTAATGAGATTCTGGTTGGGCGTTCTCCTGTCTCCAATCGGGGCGGGGCTTATATCGTTCTTGTTCTAAAAAAAACAAAATCTAATTTGGCCTTTTTTCGCACGTACGAAAAATGATAATCTTGGCTTTTTCTCACCTGGGTTCTGTCAAAACAGCCTGCCGCTAATTAGATGTGACTTCAGGAAAGAATATTGGCGCTATCTGTGAGCCGAGACATTCGCCTTCTTCACCTCTTTGTTTTTTTTCGGTCAGACCTGATAGTCAAAAATCTTAATTATCTACATTGAAAATGTCTCCACTTTATTATCGCGGGTTTCCAATTCTTAACAGGTCAGAATCTGTATACAGTTCCACCGGTCACCCCCTCAACCCAAAAGACACTTTTTCTCCGATTAAAAAATTTCGTTTCTATTGTTCTAAAAAAAATTTCCCTTTCTCCAAATTGATAATGAGTCTTTCTACGCAAAAGTAGGCCAGATGCTTTGACCGACATTCTTATCAATCGCCAATACACTGTCATCAAGCCTGGTCCTTTCTCTCTCTAAATGACTTTTCATTTCAAATAACAATTCCTATTGTCTTTTTAAAAATTCGGCCAACATGTTGGCCAAGATATCTTTCTGACACCTGTTTCCGCTTATGACCGGGTCATGCATCATCCACCTCTCTTTCCTTTTTTTTTCTTCTCTTCCTCTTTTCTTTTTTCCTTCTTCTTCCCTTAGGATCGTCTAAGTACAACTTAGTGAATTATTTTCAACTCAATTATTCTTCGTCTAAAAAAAAAATTAACAACCTGTTTAATAAACCGAGTAAAAAAAATTAAATCATATTTCTATGAATATTTCTAATAATGCAAGGTGCCACAGGAAGATCTGGCATTGGTTGAAGCAGTTCTATCTGATTTCCTTGATCGTTTTCTGACCCAAGATGAGTGTTGGATTCATCACTTTGATCCAGAGGGAAAGAGACAATCCCTTCTCCAAAGGTCAAGCTCGTTTCATCTGCAGGAAATCTGACGGCCTCAGTTTTATCAGGCTTTATTTACTTTCAAAGGGGGCCACACCATCTATGGAGATAACTATGTCAATTTAGTGGGGCAGTTAAGAAAGGCTATGAAGACCAATCTTCCACCAAAAGAACTGACAAAAGAGGGCTTTTTTCATCAGGACAATGCTCCAGCACACAAATCATTAGTTTCAAAGGCTGCTGTGTGTGAATGTAACTTTAAACAGGTTCATGACTCGCCCTATTCTCTTGATATCGTCATTTCTCCAACATGATCACGTGGCTGGGAACCAGTATCGCAATGATTATGACATCATACATGCAGTTGATGAACTTTTTGACCAACAAGATAAACAGTTTTCTTTGAACAGTCAGATGCCAGTTTTACTTGGAAAATAACAATGCAGTTATTAAAAGAAAGGATTGAAATTAATACATGCAAGATTTCACAGCTCTAGCATCACCCCTTCATAGTCAGCTTATGAACTTTTCAGCATCCCCTTTTTATTGAAATTAACTATCAATAAAGGTAGTATAAGTCCTATTCAGCGGTAAACGTTCCGATCAGCACTTATCAAAGGGTATTGTTGATAAATTCCCTCTGTGTTCTAAATGCGAGAAGAAAATTCTACTCAGGCAGCAAAGGCTTTGTGGTTGCTCTCCTGAACACTTCAATCATGACTTCGTCAAGTGAAGAATCAATTAACTCGCCTTCCTCTCCTAATAATCTTCATTTCCTACAAACACTTCCTTCATTCATATCACACAGGTTCTTCAATGTTATCATTTTAACAGTGACCTTAAATGCTCCCTCGCCATGTGCCGTGTGAATATTCGTATAAAAAAGAACTTTGTTCCGAACAATTATTTGATTACAGGGAATGGTGCCTAGTAGACAGTTTATACACAACGAAATATTATTGGAATGGCATCTGACTTTGGTGCGATGACGCCAGTTCTTATTCCCTGCTCGATAATATCTTGTAACGTTTTTATTAAATGAGACAATTTGTCTCTAAGACGGGAGATTTAAATACGTACCAGGAGGCTTTTGCTTAATTTGCATGAAAGCCACACATCAATGCGACTAACATAACCAAACTAGTATAAATGATTTTCAGCACTTGATTTTGATATCTGGGGAGTACTATTAAAAATATCTTCGAGCGTATGAAGTCTGTAGGTCGGTGCGAGCAAGAGAACTCGAACTCGAAGATAAAATAATGACATAATCATAATATTGACGTTCCACACTACTCCAAACAAAAGATTAGGAAGGAAACCTCCATCAATAATGGAAAGAGCATTAACAATTACTGGACTTGAGAAAACTATTTTCCTGAAAGACACAGTTAATGGAAAGATTTTATTTCAATGGAAAGTAGCACTGGCTGCTTGGTCAATGAATACTGGATATTTCCTTATAAGGAAACAAGCTAAGATTACCATCGCCATTAGGGATGAGAATAGATACTCCATTTTGACCCAGTCTGGTGGCCAGGTATTGAAGAAAACCGTACCTCAAGTAGCCTTGGATGCTTGGAA